CAGGGTCAGGAGCTGGGATGTTGGAAGGGGGGCAGGGTTACATTTGGGGTGCAGTGGGGGGCACCCACCGCGGCAGGAGTGGGGCAGCCCAGTTGTACCTGATGTGCTGAGGGGGGTAGTGACTGTCGGGGAGGCAGCTTTGGGGTGCAATGACTGTCAGGGAGGCAGCTTTGGGGTGCAAAGGGAAGACGCCCCCAGCTACCAAGACCTGGGTGGGGGTGGTAAGGGGGGGACTTCACGGCCCCATTGGCTGGTGCAAGGGGCCAGCACATGGGGGGGCTGCACCCTGCTGTGCAGTGCAGGGAAGGGGGGGCTCTGTGATCCAGGAGGGGCTGACAGAGGGGGAGCTGGGGGGGGGTCACTTCCCACCTCTTCCTTGGCAAAGATGCAGTGGGGAGATAAATGGGGGGACTACCCCATTTTCAGGGTGCTGGGGGGGCAGGGCGCACTGGGGGACAGGTGGGGGCTGAAGGACGGGTGATGGGTTAGGGAGGGGGAATGGGAGGTGCACGGAGTGGGGAGCACAATGGGGAAGGTTCCACTAAGAATCTAGTGGTGTGCCCGGGGTGAGGTGCCCAGAGATCGGGGCAATAGAGGGGTGCATAGAGAGGAGACGCAAGGGGGGACAGGGAGGTATTACCATGGGGGGCTGAGGAACACTGGGCTAGGAGGAGCGAGACATGGGGGGGGGGAGCAGAGGTTGCAATGGAGGGGTCTAGCAGGGTTCCCTGGAGATGGGTGCAGTGGAGGAGTTGCAGTGGGGCACATTAGGGACTGCAATGGGGGGCCGTGTCAGGGGTGCCAAGGGGAATGTGCATGCGGTGCAGGGCACACAGGAGGTGCAGTGGGGGGTTGCACTGGGGGAGTTGCAATCAGGGCCGGCTCCAGGGTTTTGGCCGTCCCAAGCAGCCAAAAAAACAAACAAAAGCGATCGCAATCTGCGGCAATTCGGCGGGAGGTCCTCCGTCCCCCGAATTGCCGCCGAATACCTGGACCTGCCGCCCCTCTCCGGAGCGGCTGCCCCAAGCACCTGTTTGCCAGGCTGGTGCCTGGAGCCAGCCACTGATTGCAATAGGGAGGCGGCAGGGGGTTCCCACACCCGGGGGTGCAATAGGGGCTGTAGGGGGGTGCCGCACCTGGGGCTGCAATGGGGGGTTCCATTGGGGGAGTTGCACTGGGGGTTGCAAGGGGGGCTGCATTGGGGGGCCCGCACCCTGACATGCAATGGGGGCTCTGGGGATGCAATGGGGGGGTTGCATTGGGGGCCCG